ATCTATCTATCTATCTATCTATCTATCTATCTATCTATCTATCTATCTATCTATCTATCTATCTATCAAAACTGTTGTAAAATATAATCCTCCAACTATTGTCCCAAAGGTGGTTTTTTTTTTTTCAGGAGACAACTGGGCTTTCTGTTTTTTCCTTGAAGATGTTTTTCTTCTCAATCCAAGGAACTACTTCAGCTCTGACTGGATGGTGGGTATTAAAAACGCTACAACCTTTGATGCCAAAGTTGCTTCCTGTTTGGAAGTGTAGTTTGCATCCTTTTAAAGTTGTTGAGGCAACTTGGAGGTTTGTCTGTGTCCTCAGGTCACCTGAGTGGTGCAAATGGCTTTGGAGTTACTAAGGTAACAGAATGTGAGGCAACTGGCAGTTGGAGCAGAGTTCTTTTCAAGTGGGGAGGGAGAGTAGAACTCCTTAGCATCAGAGTGTGTTAATTACTGTATTAAAAAATACCAATGATCGGATGGTCATTTCGAAAAATCCTTTCTTAGCGAGCACATAGAGGCCAAGAGGAACAAACATGCCAAATTTCAAGTTTGTAGGCTTTACGGTTCTTAGAGATTTCATGATGCTGCTTGAATGGTATTTCGCTTTTATATAGATAGATAATAGCAGTGCCTATTAGATCTTAATCTGATTTTGCGTTATTACTATCTACTTTGCCTTATTGTTATTATTACCTTGTAAAAGGCAAAACATCTGAATTAACAAATGCCGTTGGTTCTGAACTCTTTAGAATCAACCTTGGTCTAATGATGGGAAAGCACTATGGAACTGAAGTGGGATCCCTGTAGCTTTCTAATATATTAATAACATTTTCTATGGAAAACTAATCATTTTCAAATTGTTCACAAAGTGAAAATGTTCGGGCTGGTGTTGGAGAAGAATAATTCTATCTATGATTCCACTGCTCTCCTACCAGACATATCCTCCGGACAAATAATGTTTATGTGATTTATTGTACCTGAGGGAAATAGTAAAGCCCAAGGATTCTCGAGGAAGCAATGGAAAGAGTCGATCCACCAGCTCCAATAATTGCGGATAAAGGAGCACCGGTACTGCATCGGAAGACAGGAGTTGTTTCATTTTGACCGGTGAGGAACGCCAAAGAATTCTCCACTGTCTTGGACATTGTAAAGCATGTGTCATAGATTTGATAGCCAAGAGTAATGTTTGGTAGAATATCTTTTCTTTCATTAATATCATTGATGGCATGTATCATGGCTTTGACCCAACGGTAGCCTCGAAAATTAAACCTGCAGAGTAAAAAGAGGTTGAATGCATGCATTCATGTTAGTATGTTAAGACAAAATGATACCCTCTGTATTTATCACATGTTATTCAAATAAACAAGTATATTGTTTATGAAGACTCCTCTTTATAACTTCATATCTTATACTGAGTCATCCACAACTTGGAGATACTATGTGGCTTACCCTCCTGAGGTCTTTTGAAGATTCCATGGGCTTTGAGAGAGTTAACAAGAGAAATAGATGCCTTAATATTTTGTTCCTCACTCTTGTATGAAAATACCACCTCTATAAAATTCAGGTAAGAGAGAGCAAATTGCAAATTGCAACTCCATAGCTCTATGGAACCCCTCAACTCATCCTGTTGTTGCACCCCTTATCATGCTATCAGATTTTGTGAGCACAATTGTCACAAAATTGTGGTGTAGTTTCCCACCAATCTATTGTGGGAAACAGGTAGAAATAAGCATGGATCCCAAAAGAAGCATAATGCAATTTAAAATCTTGAAACTAATATATTTTATACCCCCCCCCCAAAAAAAACAATAGTAAAAATAATCAGTGATCTTGGTTTGCTAGCTTATCTTTGCGAAACCCCAGTGATAATCCAAGCAGTCAAATCATTTAGGATTTTGGTTACATCTGAGATTAGCATTGTTATTAACGTACATCAGAGATCCAAAACAGTAAATTATATAAAGTTTTATATCACATCATGTTTTATATTTGCATTCTAACATAATTGACCTTACGTCTTGCTGCTCTATTTTTTTCATCAGAAACCTTATGCTGATGTGACAGACCACATCCAAGAATAGAATAGTTTCTTGGATGTAATACCAGAGATGTTTGTCATGTAATGGAAATAAAATTTTGCAATGTAACAAAACACATGTACTGGCTCTTAAACAAATAATACAGCCCAAGAATATCCTGCATACAAAAAATATACCTCTCTGTACAGATGAGAATGAAGATGCCCAAATTCCTGAATATGTAAATATGTTTACAATTTTGGTACTTGGGATGTACTTTAGAGCAAGATATATATAATAAATATAATAACATAATATTTTGATATAAAATTATATTTATAATATATAGTGTAAACATAAAATAATAGAAGGAAGAAGTATTAAATATGTTCGCTACCTTGAGTTATTTATAAAAATAATAAAAGTGAGATTTTAAAAATTAAATAACTAATTAAACTTAGGTATATCTGCGAGAGATCTATATGAAGCAATATTTAGAATAGTAACAAATATAAATTTTCTAGTATTTTTTAAAAATGACTTCAGGAAAACCTGTAACCCTGACACTGCAACACTGACACAATGCAGATGGAACTATTTCCTATTATGATCGCTTTCAGAATTGTTTTATCTTTGGGGGGTGGGGGCAAGAAAATCATGATGATGGTGAAGAAGATAATGAAAATTATGTGGCTAGAGTTATTGTGAACCATGGTCCTCTCCTGGAAGGCAGCTGCTATGTGAAGAACTATCTGGTTCAAGTTCAATTTAAATTACATTAAAAAAAAGAGCAGGAGAAGTTTTAAACTGTTCACCAACAAGAAAAATAGCAAAAACTGCAGATGAAGAAACAAGCCTTCTGGTCATAATTTTACCTTGTATGAAGAGATGTTCTCAGTTTTATTTAATGTGATTATAAATAAACGCCACGTTTGTATCTGTGCATATAAATCAGGATGCAAAAATGCTTAAGTAGATGGGCTGGGGTTGGGAAAAAAACAAATGGTGCTCTTACAGGGCTTTTCTCCTCTAATTTCATATCAGCTGGTAGTATGTGCTTTGTCTTTCTTCTTCTAACCTCCCACAGCTTGAAAACTCTGGAAGGTAATTAATCCTACTGCAGATCATGATTTCTTTCCAATTAAGGAAAACACGAAGGAAACTTAGCGGTGTGGCTGTTCTTTGCACCTCTCATTAAGAAGTTCTCAGGTCAGGCTCAAAAAGAGTGAGGAATGTTTTTCTACGGTTGACATGAGAATGCACCGCATTTGCCTTGCATTAAGTCACATTGTCAAAGCCACAGTCAACTTTTAAAATCATGTTGGGGTGTATTGCCCGAAATGGGTATGGCTGTGATGGAAGAAAGGGACAGAAATGGGACAGAAAATAATTATAGAAATTATAAACATCATCACTATTATTTCCTCAATCACCTCCTCACTATTACTATCATTAGGAGATGTTTCATATGTCTATATTGAACCGTGGCTATTTAAAATCTCTGCTTGTATGCCACCATTAGTTTAATGGAATTTAACGGTTTTCAAGATGGCTGTGCACATGGATGCTGCGGCTGGCCACTCCTTCTTTCACTGTATGGTGTGTTTTGGATTCTTTCCTTGACTGAATCCTGTGAGGCAAGGGTCATCTATAGTTGGCAACCCTTGCTACAAATTGGACTGAAAAGGCTATTACGGACGATTTTATACATTCTCATAACATACTGAAGGAGGCAGCTAGGACCCTGGGGGAGCCATGGATCACTATCCCTGTAGGAAGGAGGAAGAGGTGGAGAAAGAGGAACAGGAAGAGGAAGAGAAGATGCCATACTGGGGTTTTCTTTAGGCTAAGTAAGTTTCCACACAAGCCTTCAATCCCAAGTATATTTCTTACCAATGCAAGATCTCTGACTAACAAAATTGATGAATTAAGGCTACAGATTGCAAAGACTACATTCATCAAGAACTGCTGTGTTTTGCTAATCACAGAAACTTGGCTTCATTCACTCATTCCAAGTGCAGCTATTGAGCTGGAAAGCTACATAGCTCACCAGCAGGACAGGAGTAGAGATTCTGGCAAGAGCAAAGGGGGAGGTTTAAGCCTTTATGTGAACAAAAACTGGTGTATCAATACAAAGACTGTAGACAGCCACTGCTCCATGGATCTGGAGTATATGACTCTTAAATGTAGACCCATATATCTTCACGGGAATTCAGCATCATTTTGATTACTGCAGTCTATATCCCACCTGATGCCAATACTATCATAGCTTTGGGATTCTTGTATAACTTTGTTAGTAATCAGCAGAATAAGTATCCTGATGATGTGCATATCATAGTGGGGAACTTTAATCAAGCTGATTTAAAAGCAGTGCTCCCTAAATTCTATCAGCATGTTAAGTGTGCTACTAGAAGAGCAAACATATTGGACAAAGTATATACCAACATCAAACATGGCTATAAGGTTATATGATTACCACATTTGGGACAATCAGACCATATGTCACTGCTTTTAGCACCAGCATACATCCCTCTTAGGAGGCAGGCTGTGCCTATAATAAAGACAGTGAAATCTTGGCCAGAAGATGCTTCCTAACAACTTCAGGATTGTTTTGAGAACACAAACTGGGACATCTTTTACCACTCTGACCTAGAGGAGCACACTGTAACTGTTCTGTGCTATATCAAACACTGCACAGATACTATCACTGTGGATAAACATATTAGAATCTATCCCAATCAGAAAGAAGTCCAGCGCCTCTTGCATGACAGGACCAAAGCCTTTAGGTCCAGTGATGGGTCAAGATATTGTGTTGCCAGAGCTAATCTGGAGAAAGGTATCCGGAAGGCCAAGACTGATTATAAGAGAAAGATTGAGGATAATTTTTATAGCAATAACATGAGGCAGGTGTGGCAAGGGATTCAACAAATTACCAACTATCAACTGACCAATGTCATCCCTGCTGAAGGGGATGCTTCATTGGGAGAGGAACTGAATAATTTCTTTGCTCGCTTTGAAGTGGAGACATCAGAGACAGATAAAATACAACCACCAGCCAATTGTAGCCCCACCTCATTGTGGAGGAACAGGAGGTAAGGAGCATTATGAGGGCTTTGGACCCTAGAAAGGCTGCCAGTCCTGACGGTATCTCTCGCTGAGTGCTTAAAGACTGTGTTGATCAGTTGGCTGGAGTCTTTACTAGGATCTTCAACCAGTCTTTATCCCAGTCCACTATTTTATCTTGTTTGAAGGCTTCCACCATTGTTCCACTGCCAAAGAGGTTCCCTATCAATAACCTCAATGATTACACACCAGTGGCACTCACTTCTATCATCATGAAGTGCTTTGAAAAATTGGTCTGCCGGCACATCTTTTCTGGTCTTCCGCATATATTTGATAAATACCAGTTTGCATACAGAAGAAATTGATCTACAGAGAATGCTATAGCCATCACTCTTCACACTGCTATGACTCATCTAGAACAGCAGTGGGGGGGGGGGCGCTATGTGAAGATGGTTTTTGTAGAATTTAGTTCTGCATTTAACACCATTCACTCCCACTCACACTAGTAATACTATTACTAAATTTGCAGATGATACAACAGTGATGGGACTCATCTCCAGGGGGGATGAGTCTGCCTACTGAGATGAGATAGACCAGTTGCTTTCATGGTGTGGAGACAATAACTTGGTCCTCAACACCAATAAGACCAAGGAGCTTATAGTGGACTATAGAAGGAATAGATCAGACATCCAGCCCTTGCTTATCAATGGAGAGTGAGTGGAGCAAGTGGCCAGTTTTAAGTTTCTGGGTGTTACCATAAAAGAGGACCTGACCTGGGGTGCTCACATTGTAGCACTGGTCAAAAGGGCCCAGCAGAGATTATACTACCTGAGACTTCTCAGAAAACAACAACTGAATGAAAAACTGCTGGTGATCTTCTACTGCTGCACCATAGAGAGTATCTTAACTTACTGCACCTGTGTATGGTTTGCCAACTGCACAGTGGCAGATAGGAAAGCACTCCAGAGGGTTAATATCATTGCCCAGAAGATCATTGGTTGCCCGCTCCCCTCTTTGGAAGAGCTTTATAGCTCCTGCTGCCTTAAGAAAGTTCAAAACATTCTCATAGATCCATCTCATCCTGGGCACCTTTTTTTGAACTATTACCATCTGGCAGACGGTACAAAATAATAAAAACAAGCACAAATAGGCTGAAAAACAGCTTCTATCCCAGGGCAGTAGCTCTTT